AAAACTCCAAACAAACCCATGACTGGAGGGGACTGGTGCCAAACTGGCTCCTAAAAGCTGGATTCACTGAGCCGCCTCTGTCAGGAAGGGCCTTGGTTCCCCCAGCGAGGGAATGAGGAACATAATACCAAGTTTAAATGAGGAAAAATGGGAGGCCCCCAGTGGGCTTCCCCCCCCCCCCAAATGTGTGCGTGCAGGCTGGGGGGACACCTCTGTCTCCCTGGCCCTGCTAGTACTCAGTCCCTGAGCTGCCCCGTCCTCCTTCCCCGCAGGCCTTGGGGGGTGGGTACCTCCACTGGGGCCACCTCGAGATGATTCGCCTGACCATCGGCCGGGAGATGAACCCCAAGACCATGTTCGCCATCTGGCGCGTGCCGGCCCCCTACAAACCGGTGACGCGGAAGAGCATGGGCCACCGCATGGGAGGCGGCAAAGGCCCCATCGATCACTACGTGACGGCGGTGAAGAGCGGGCGGCTGCTGGTGGAGATCGGCGTTGAGGAGGTGAAACCCTTCCTCATGCAGGTGGTCAAGAAGTTGCCCTTCCCCGCCATCCCCGTCAGCCGCGATAGCCTCCAGCAGATGCGTCGCGAGGAGGAGGAGAAGAAGCTCAACAACCAAAACCCCTGGACCTTTGAGCGCATCGTCACCGCCAACATGCTGGGGATGCGCAAGTACCTCAGCCCCTACGACCTGCGGCTAAAGGGACGCTACTGGGGCAAATTCTTCCTGAAACACAGGGTGTAATGAGCTCGCCTTCATTAAACCTTCCCACAAGAACCTTCGTCGGCCGCTGTGGGTTTTGGGAAGCAAAAACACGGGGGCAGTAGTGTCCCGGAGGTGACGGCCTGCGTCAGGGTTTGTCTCCTGCTACTGACCCCCCCCTGCATTGACGTAGCACCCCAGAGCAGAGCGTGGGTGAGCTCTTTATTGAGGAGGAGGGCTCTGACTGCGGGGGGCTGCACATCCGAAGAGGCAGCGAGACAGAGAAGTCGCCGCAGACGAGCTCCGAGTGTGGGGAGAGAGG